AGAGGTAAAGTTTGTGAGTTTGTGACGTTTTAGGGGGTAATCTCTGGATCTACTGAACCGATTTAGATGAAATTTGGTGAGAAGATAGTTTGAGATCCTGGGAAGGACATAGGATACTTTTTAACCCGGAAATCATCCCTTAAGGGGGTGAAAATGGGGATGAAAGTTTGTATTGGGAAGCAATCTAGGGACGAATCCAAGCGAAGCGAAGGTGAGTCGCTAGTATTATTATATTTTAACAATACGATAGTAGTTTAGTCTGCCTTGCAATACTTTCTTAACCATAGAAAAATCAGAGAATAAAAACAACTCATTCCTCTCTTTGACATTTTAAAAAAAAAAACCCTTTTATACTAGGTTACGTAAGTTAAATAAGAAAATCGAGCTCATTTTATAACATCCAATAATAGGTTTTACTTTCAGTGCCTAAAAGCCACAAATCTAAAAGCTATCTAAATTTGAACTATGTAAATGTCTTAAGTGATATTCTATGTTTGATATTTAGAGTTAACCTTTGAGCAATCTGGTTGAAGTTTTTTAGAATTGTTGTTTATAGAATAGGTATAATAAAGCCTTTAAAACGAAATCTAAGGTAAGAAAATATTCCAAAAAGTAATGGGTTTCACAATACAAATCCCCAACGAATAGTAAAGGGTTATACAATTTTGAGATGGCATTGGGTAATCTTATCTTCAGACCCACCTAAAAGCAGCATCAAGGCTAGGTTATCATTCATTTTTACAGGACAAAAATGTAAGACGGATAAAAATGAAAATTTTAAGTATTATTACTTCTTTAAAAAATCACACATCACGACTGTTCATAAGTTTTAAACAACTGATGATATTTTTAACTTAGCTTTTAACTAAAATTCCCTCGTTCTAAATCGAATACTATTAAAACTCAAATGAGGTTCTTCGACACATTCATCGGTCAAGAATAATTTGAATGTTTTTTTTACTTAGTACTTAAGCTTTAATTGTGGATTATTTTTAATGAAACTTTTAAGTGAAATATTTACCAAGTTTCCCAGATTTTTCTTAAACCAGGATTATTGATTGATTGATGATTTTGACGACACGTTTGGCTCAGGTTGTAGTGATTATACCTACTTATTATGCCAGCGGTCGCGGGCACGAATCCAGCTGGAGGCATTCATTTGTGTGATGAGCACTCCAGTCATGGGTGTTTATATTTATAATATGTATTTAAAGTTATATATGTGTAGTGTATCAACTATCTGGTATCCATAACACAAGCTTCGTAGCTTACCATGGAACTAGATGGTGCTGGATAGATTTAAATACTTATGTATTTATTTCATGACCTTAAAATCTTATCTACCTATTCATCATTCATTCATCATTCCTTTTTTTTCTAGATGTGGCAGACCGTTCATTTCGGTCTTTAGCTTCGCGATTCATTTCGTTCCAAAACTTCACAATGGCTTTCGCTTCTGCAATGATAGAGCGTCGCCAAGTTTGCTTAGGACGGAATCGCTTAAGATTTTCTTTGTAATTTTCGTTTAGGCTTGCTCTCATATGTGATCAGAATTTTCGGAAACTAGAATGTTCTTTTGTCACTCTCACTCATAGCAATTTAGAAATAACATTTCTTGTCGTTAATTGTCAAGATGACCACTATTTTACCATCTGTTCTTAAGCATAGTCCAGGTGTGTGTTTTAGTGTAAAGACTTATCGGAGCGTGTCACCAATCCAGTTCCATTTCCGTCTTCTCTTGGTCGATGGTGTGTGTCATTGGAGCGCTCTCACGTGTTGGAGATTGTCTGGGGATGCACCCACGCTTCAATACCTACATACGTGGCTATTAATTATTCAATACACTTAATTAATTCGTTTGTCTGTCTTTAATATAAAATTAATTTTTGTATCGCTCAACCTTTCAGAATGTTACAGATAAATACTGTTTGTAATTTTCATTAATTTATAAGTACAGTGTATATACACAGTACTTCTAATGTTTTTTATGTATACCTTCTATCTAATTTATCTTGTCGAATTGATGGGTTTTATATGGTATAGAATACGTATATTCTACTCATAATGTTATTACTCCTTCATATTTCAGTGATCATATTATTATTCTCTTTGAAAATATAACTAGGTCATATAGCTGCCTCGTCTGTCTAATGGCTGTAGATTGTGAGGCCCTGAGTTCGATTCTAGTGTCAAATCAATATAGCCTCTGGTTTTAAATAATATATTTGTAAATTAACTACAGTTTACTGAAGTTGTGTTGCTTGTTGTTGCAAGTACAAGATTTACAAAAGATTTACTTCCTTTTTTAAATATTATTATGTATAATTTATTTTAGTATAGTAATCTTATTTTACAGAATAATCTCCCTCCTATCTTCTCCATTCTACGTGATGTTGGCGAAGTAATCTGTGCTAAACTGGCACCCTTTAAAGCCTTTAATAAAAATGATTTTAAATACCTATTCAACGATACCTCATTAGACATAGTTCGTCGATTTTCATTTTTTTATTTTTCATATTATGGAATCTAGCAGCCCCCATATTTATTTATTTTTAATGCCACCTATCTAAGAACACTTGGACTAATGATACGAATCTAACGATGCCTTAATCAAAGAAATCCATCGAGTGGTTTGGAAGATATGAGGGAATAAAGAATATGACAAATAAACTACAAAGATAGGCGCGAAAAACATAACCCTTTCCTAGATAAAGTAGGTAAAAAGAAAATTGAATTAAATCAAGTAATGATCTTTTATCTACAATTAAATTATAAATCGTAAAGACCATTTCCTCCACTAGTTATAAAGACAAATAAAAATATACTCTATTATATCTCAAACATTCAATTAACAAAAATGTTTAATACTTATTTATTATTCCAAGAATAAAAGTGGACGAATTTACCTATTACATTCTTATTCACTCTCACTCTATAAAATAGGTACATTTACTACACAATTATGTGAAACCTATATCACCAGCCAGCATGCAATGAGCACTAAGATATTCATGTATTCCCCGTGAAATGTGTCGGATAGACAGTGTTAATTGCTGTAAGATTGTCTGTTTCTCAAGTATAAACGTTATATTAATTTAATGCATTTAAATGCTAGGGTGAATGTATAGAATTCTTCATTGCAAGAGTTCCATTTTGATCGTATACATTATGAATAGCCATATAATTAAAATACTTAATTCCACTAGAAATCTATCTATCTATTGTTTATAGATATAAAAATAACATGCTCTGACAGAATAAAGCCCTAGCGAGCCGCTGCCATAAGGAGTTGAAATATTGACAACGTATTTATAATCATTAATTAATAAGTCACACCTTTTAAATAAACAGCTATTAATAAATTAATAAAATAAAAACCAGGTAAAGATACTCGGTATATCACTGACTGCGTATTGGTGTATTACATGACCGGTTAAAATTTAATAATATTGCTAGAGATTGCACCTATTTTTTAAAAAATAAAAACTTTTTATCATTTGTAAATTAAGGACTCACCAATGCATGTGAAATGATCCCAAGCTCGAATTTTTCATTAGTTGCCATTAAAGAGTATAACTATCTCCTTTCTGTCTCCATGATCAGATCAGCATAATAATAACAAAATAATTTAAATCTTGGCGAAAAATTTTGTGGGTTTAGGTGCGAACGCTACGTGATAAAGCGAAAAACCAACCACTCACATTTATTATTATAATAGTATGAATTAAAAGACACATAACACGTAATTTCAATATTGGCGAAAATCGAAGAACGGATATTTCACAACACACAGTTTACCCAGAAAAAGCACTGCGCTGTGCGCTAAAAATTGTAGTAGAAAAGCTTATAGCTATATTCTTTAATTTGGTCTAATTTTTTAAAGATCGAAGTCTTAATTTAATAGCAAGAATAATTTTTACAGTATTTATTTAAGTAATTTTCCTTGAGACTTACCATTTAGGTAAGTTCAATGTCTCACAATCAGTTAGACCATCGCATCCCTAGTCTGGTCTTCTTTGAAGTAATGGACACGTACCATAAATAGTATAACTAAGTCACGTTCATACTAATGAAACTGAGATAGTGTTGATTGCATGGCAGATGACATTGTTAATTTCGTTTCAAAGCCATCAACTGGTTAGTTACTCCGGAGCAAAATTCATTGAGATTTTAACATTTACAACTAAATGTCTCCCTAGATCTAATATGTAAATTGAAGATATGATATAATTAACTTATAATATTGACTATGAACGAAACAAATTAAATATGAAGCTACTTCATATATACTTGTTAATGAATTAAAAACTCGTCCACATATTATTATGTTGTACGTATGAAGGTACAAATATGACAAATTATAACTTTTCTTAACCATTGACAGCAAATTCCTATATTTAAGTTTTTTTTAAAAACGAAACTGAGCTTCGAAGAAGCGATACTCACCTAATTCTACCTACCGAAATGATAAGATTCATCATTTTTGTTTTAGCAGTTATGGCAATACCTATAAATTAAATAACGTTTAAGTATTGTTACAATAAATTAAATTAAAAATTAAAAAAAAAACCTAACACAGTAACCTATTTAATTAGCTTAAACACGATATCTCTGCACTATTTTGTTCCAGGTGACCGGCCAAGATTACCATATTGTTGTCGTGCATATGTCATTAAAGCAACAGGATATTAAGTTTCATATAGATTAAATCTGTAGAAGTTGCTCATATTCTATTACCATCTAGAAAAGAGCTGATAGCCTACAAGCGGCTCAAATCATTTTCTTGATTTGTAGCTTAACACACTCTCGATTAAGACACTTTTTAAACAAAAAAAAAATTAACATCGGTTGATCCGTTTGGGTACTACGATGCCACAGATAGACACATAGATACACAAGCTAAACTTATAACACCCCTCTTTTTGCGTTGGGGATTAAAAACTAAATAATGAGATATATTTATAAAAATATACAAATATTAAATTACTGTTTATTTACAGCCAACACTACTGATTTGGGAGTACTGGATCCGTCACTATATAAAGCTGACTGTCTAGTGGAAGACCAGCTATGGCCTGAGGGACATGTGGTAAGATTTTTATTATTACCATTTCTTTTTAATATTAAAATCTTATAAGGTCCACTATTTACACTAATATAAAGAAAATGTTTCATGCAGTTGCTCCCATTAAAGTTGACAAAGTTATATCAATATTTCTACCATATTTTGTAAGAAACTATAATAACCAAACTCACATTATTTTTGGAATATTGTTCAACAATGAAAACGCTTTGTTATTTTTTGGAGTGCTTGAATTTCACTAACCCTATAGTGTCAGCTATCATACTGTTCTTTTTCTTGGTTACTAATACTTACCGTGCAAATGGCGGCAAATTCAAATCTTACGTGAATTTAGCGACTGCCTTTACATGTGCATTCTTTTTACTACTTCACGCTAAAATGACTGGACGGATTTCGATAAATTTCGTCTATGATTTGGCATTCGACATACATAGACTACTATTAGTAAAAGTTACAAAAGAGGGCCTACTTGCATATAATATTACAAATACAAAAGGCACCTTGGGAAGCATCCGAGCAATGGGTACATGTAACATGGCTAGTAGCTAATACACAGGTACATGATAAATATTAAAACTAAAAAAAACACAAAAACCTCCTTCAAGGCACTAAAAAGTAAAAAATTACTGAACAGTGTCAGCCAGTTGGTGCAATTACTATACTATCATCGAAATTACAAACACTTTAAAAGTTAGTAGCAAAATCGGTCAAGCCGTCTCCGAGAAATCAATGAACATACATAAAAAAAACATACATACAGACGAACATAGAACCTCCCACTTTTAGGAAGTCGGTCAAAACTTTACGCACATAATACTTTATGGTACCTATAAACAAATAAAAAAGAAAAACTCACTTATAATACACAGTTACTTTTTTATTGATATTTACGTTCATGACGCACTCAAATATGTAGGCGTAAACGGTTAATCTGTGTTCATTGGAAAGGATTTACACAAGCAAAAGCTCATAGCAATAAAAATTGTGTTATTTTCGACAAGTGTTATTATACTTGATACATAGTTATTGTAATTGATCTTAATGTGCTAACGATGAGTTTGTGACGTTGTTTGAGTTAATCTTTGGATCTATTGAACCGATTTAGATGAAATTTTTTAAGAAGATAGTTTGAGATCCTGAGAAGGACATAAAATAATTTTTATTCCGGAAATCATCCCAAAGGGATGAAAGTTTGTATGGGGAATCAACCAAGGGACGAACCCGATAGAAGCGAGGGTAAGTAGCTAGTTAATTATAATGTTTTTTTTCAATATTATATATTTCATAGGTTAGATTTTAAAAGAATGGTGTACATAAATAATAAAATTGAAGAAGAGGAAAATACTAAATATATTATTACCTTTTCACATTTAAAGTGCTAAAGTTTTGATGAAATTGGAAGAGAACATAAATTGCATCGTAGGTACAGAGAAAGATTTTCTTTTGTCCTTGCCTCGCTTAAATCTCTGTTTTGGTGTATAAAATAATTAAGGATGACAAATTGTGAATAGGCTTAAGAGCCTTTAAATAGTAAAATGTAAAGAATTATTTTAAATACTATTTAATTAGTACAAACCCGCACCTAAGGCTAACTACGAAAAAAAAAATCAAGTCATGCGAACTTTAAATATCAAAGGATTTTTGTTATCAAATAATACCTACAACATAATTCAAGCAATAATGATACATATTTATAAAAGCAAATTTCCTTAGTAATAAATGATTATAATCGTAACGGGCCTTTAAAAGCTTATAAAAACTAGAATTAAAAATCTATACATATAATAAAACTGTAAAGGTCGAATGTCTGTATATAGAAAAAAAAATTCTAAAACCCCAATCAGAGGGATGTAAGGAGAGAAATAGAACAAATCCAGATTTTTTTTCAATTTTTTTGTTTCTCTGCCTTTTTGTCTGTTTGTTCGGGCTAATCTTCGAAACTGTTGGACCGATTTAAATGAAATTCTGCATAGTGGTACCTTATATCCAGGATTAACATTTTAGATCTTAGACTGTTCATCCCGGAAAATTAAAGAGTTCCCGTGGGATAGTTAAACAACTATAGTAACTTATACAGCTTAGTACACAACAACTTATGAACCTAATTTAGTAAAATCTTTCATGCTGATACCTTATATTTCCCGTCAAACGACAGCTTACTTTTTATCCCGGAAAAATGAATGGTTTCCGTGGGATAGAACTGATTGAGTTTACCCGAGCGACGCGAGGGTGATCTGCTAGTGTTTTTATAAAAAACTAGCGACTCACCGTCGCTTTGCTCAGGTTCGTCCCCAGGTACGTTCTGACGCTTAATATGGATTAGATTTATGAAGACATATCAAACAAAACAATGATCAAAAAATCGGTCCAGCGAGTTATAAGTGTTGTAACAAACCCGAGATTGTTATATATTCATTTTAATAAAAAAATTGTACGTTTCACAAAGAAAAGAAAGTTTTTATTATTTCAATTTCATTAAGATCAGCAGCAGCGTAAGAGGAACAGTGGCTTACTTTTGTATATTCAATATTTGAAAGGTTAATGAAATTTTATAATAATTTATAACATGAATATTTAATATAAATCCAAAAGAAACATTCTAAATATCTCATCTTTCATATTTTTTAGATCATCAATCATAAAAATTACTTCAATAGAAGAACCTGAAATCCACTAAATTCCTCTGCTGTGTAATTATGAATATTTATAGCATTTAGCCTTTTTAAATATAAGATATTTTGTTTATGAAATGAAAGTCAGGTTTATAAATATAAAATATGTTGGGACATTAACACACAACACCGTCTATTTCCACGGTAAGCTTCGAGGCTTGTGTTATGGATACCAGATAGTTGATATACTACACATATATAACTTTAAATACATACATATTATAAATATAAACGCCTATGACTGGAGTAAAAACATTCGTGCTCATCACACAAATGAATGTCCCCAGCGGGACTTGAACCCATGACTGCTGGATCAGCAAGTATAGGTACACTACAAACTGAGCCAAATGTCTTACAAAGTTATAGGAAGAACTTTTAACGTTCTTGCATATTTTGTCGCATTCCTTTATGTAATAGTAAAGAATATATTTAAATAGTACTTTTTATATAACTCGAATAACTTTCATGAAAACAAATTAGAACAGAAAAATGTATATCTGTTATTTTATTTTATTTACACTGTATTTTATTCTAATAATATCTTTTATCGATTTTTGAGTGTATTGTAGCTGCTCCGCCCACGTCCTTAAGCTTTGTAGAATTGCTCCGCTTTCATAGGTCGCAGTGTTATGTGAGATAGCGTTTATCTGTACTCGATATAATAAAATTCTAACTGAGTCGAATCTGCACATGAAATATTTTTTGGAAAATCTTATTAAAATAATCAATATTATCGATGTAGTGGCCGAATCTATAGTCTATAGAATTTTTGTTTGTTTGTCTGTCTGTCTAAGAAAAGCACTGGACAGATTTTGAGATAGTTATATATATATAGCCTCCAAAAAAACTAAACTAATATGAAACGTATTGTTTTAGAATAGAATACGAGCACGTATGAATAACTATTGTAGGATTTCACAAATAAAACTTCGAGATATTCCTTGCATATAGTCTTGCATATATTCAGTACTTTTGGAATATTAACTTAATTCTCTTAAAATCGGTACGTCTGTCCGTGTGAAATCTACCACTGGCTCCGAAAACGGTACAGCTGAGAAGAGCCGGCAAGAACTCAACAGTTACTCTTTTATATAATGAGTTACATAATTTATAACAATAATTTTTAGTATTAGAAACAATCCGTGACTAGTCATTACAGGGTGGTACCAACATCTCCGTTACAAGGTGCGGGAAACAAATGAATATCTGCGTCCTGTTTGTTTTTTTTTTTAAATATATTCCTATCAGCCAATGTCACATAACTAAATGCTTTATACATACACTAGCGGACCCGACAGACGTTGTCTTGTCTACACGTCTTTAATTTGAAAATTTCAAACTTTTTTTAATAATTTTTTTGATGAAAATTATTATTCAAATTGTGAATCTAAACCATTCCCAGATCCCCTTGAACTCCAGTCGTTTGAGAGAAGTTCAGTGACATACACACTCACAGAAGAATTATATATATAAAGATAAATCATTGAAAATTAATCAAATATATTATTTTTCATTGAAACGCTCGTATATAAAAATGCAGCCTTACACTATGTACATATATTTAAACAGACATGACGTTTCTTATTACACTATGTTGTAGAGACAAATATATCAAAAGGTATGAAATGCAACCACGTTTGTTATTTCCCTAGGGCCGAGTGTGGTTCACTTTGAAGTATGAGGCGGGGACTGAGAGACTTCAGGTGCATATAATAAAGGTGAAACATCTGCCTTCACGCACGCCTGCGCTGGCTAATGCTTGCGACCCACATCTCAAGTAAGTAATCATTACTTTTGTAATACAAAGTTACATATCATCCTCAGTGGCCAGTGGACAATGAAACCCTGAAAATAACATATTTTCAAATGGAATTATACAATTTTTCCATGCTTTTAATAATTAGTTTTTTCGTCATCAAAAAGGAATTATAACCTTTGTTTGTTTTTTTTAAATGCAAAAAGTTATTTTTGATACCAAGAATAAAAAAAACTTTGCAATTGCAATAACCAGGTGGTATAATACCACCTCAAAAAAATTATAGACTCCTAATTTGCTTGGTACTTTTCATTTCAGTTTTGTTGATTAATTTAGTACTCATATACAAATAAAAACTATTATTTCATAATTTAACGTAATTTTTTAAGTCAATTTAATTTTACTAAATTACTTTTTTATTTGTTTTTTTTTTTAATTCTAAGTTAAAATGTAATATTTCTTTTTTTGTAATAAATAAATTAAGAAAATACCTGAAAGTTTTGAGATGTTTTACCCTTTGACACCACACCCATAGCTTGTATCAATAAGCCCGGCCGTGCTTGCACGTATTAGTCCATATCATAAAAACTACTGCTCTCTGAGTTAAGTAAATGTAAGCAAATAAAAAGAATGGACACAAAACGATTACTACTTTCGGGGTAGTACGTGGACAAACATACATACATACATATAAACTTACATATACCATATAATTTATTTGCATTTCTCTCGTAATTTGTATAAAATTTTGCATATTTGCTTGGAAGTCCTAATAAATTTTATCCTATGTGAATATTTTGCAGTTCCAATAATATTAAATACATACATACATATACATACTTCGAATTGATAACCTCATTTGTTTTAAACTTGGTTTAAATGCTTTCATCTATAACATATGTTTTTGATCAAATTATGTAGAGTTCGCTTAGTGGTCGAAATTCGTCCATATCATTTTTTTTATATTTCCATTATTGTCATTACTATCCATATAAAAAAAACCGGTTAACAATTTTTTTGATTCATGACACTAAAGCTGATCCAGAGCTATTAAACAAAAAAAAACCGGTTAACAAACACAGGAGAAAAAGGAGAAAAAACTATCCTCGGTCTTTGTCTTTATATTGCGTAACACTATTCTTGTTTAGTACTAAATATTTATTTTCAACATTTTATATTACTGATAGAAATCATGAAGAAATAAAAAAAATAATACAGATAATGTGAAGATTTATCAAAAAAAATGTATCACACAATAAAATAAACGTAAAGAGCGTTGGAATAATGAAATGACCATTTTAAGATCCCAACCTTTCTTAGAAATCCCGGAGGGCTCAAATGCTCACAAGCTTGATAATGACGTAGTTGTAAAGAAGTAAGAAATTCAGCGACTTGAATAATGAAAGACGTTTTAAAATGCGCATTTATAAAATGTCTATAAAATTAAACTAACGTACCTCCCACGAAAATTATTGCAAATGAAAATGTAATTAACTCAAAATTAATCGTTTAACATCAAAAACAAATACCTTCAAAGCTTACAACGTTTATTGTTTTTGATTATATTCTCTTCGACTACAAAGTATTGTGAAAAAGTAATGTCGGTATACAAAGTATTAGAGAAATAAAAGGAATTCATAGTAAAAGCTTTGGCACAATTTATATTGGTTTTTATCGCCACCTGTAATTTTCATAAGCCAGTATAAGCTTATAAAGTAAACTTTTTCTTATTTAACAGGATCCAACTGATGCCCGATGAAAGGCGAGTGCTGCAAACAAAACAGAAGAAGAAAACGTGCAACCCTTTCTACGACGAAACCTTTGTATACCAAGTAAGTGGCTATTAACTACAATAATTGTTATGCAAACAAATAAAACCTTGAAATTAGACATTTATTTGTTTATAAAGCATTACCTTAAATGATCTTTGAATTTTAATGATGGAATATATTAAGCAGGGTAATATCATGGATATAAATTTTCATTTAAATTATTAATTTTATTGTTTTTTTCTTTTGATTTTAGATTTGCAAGTTAAAGCTGATATTTTTTTTTATACAGGAAAAGATAAAATTTATGCAGCAGTAATAAAATAGCTAATTTATGACTCTTTACGTATTTTTTTTGTATTATATTTTAATACGATATTTTCTAATATAAGAGAAGAAAATGTTAAACTTAATACACTGTCCGTATACAGGTATCTCTATAAGCAATCTTTTCGCGGCAACCTCGGTTGGTAGGCGGTACAAGCAGTAATAAATTTTCCACAGTTGCCACATCGAATAAAGTATAAAACTTATCGTGATAGCGGCACAACTTGTTTTAATTAATTGATGAAACTGAACAATTAAGCTTTTACAGGAAGACTAACATATTGTGCAAAATAAAAGCTCTTACGCGACCATTATTATCGCGTATATTTTCGATCATTTGTATATTTTCATTATTGGATATATTTAATTTCTTCTCAATGTCCTTCTTCACACATACAGGTCAAATTTAATGCTTGTTATCTTCCAATCAATCTCTAGAAAAGTAGTAAAAATTAGTCGGCACCCTATTAGTTGTAGGTATATTAAATAATAAAATAAAACTACTATATAATAAAAATATTAAATATATGCTTTAATGGACAATAAAAACCTTCCAAAAATGAATAAATTTAATAGTTACCAAGAAGTTACTCTTTATTGAATGAATTTGACAATATACAAATGCCTTATCAATATTAACATAGTAATAATAAGCAAACAAAAAAAATATTAATCTTTTCCATCTAATACTTATACATATAATTTAAAACATTTTTTATTATTATTTAACTTCACAAAATATTTGTATATATATATATATATAATACCTTTAAACGATATCGCAGGTATGCGAGGGTTTTCGGAGGTGAAAAATCGATCATGATTAGTGTTTGTTATGTCTGGGAAAACGCGTGTTTTCGAGTTTTCATGCTGTTTTCTTTCGCATTATTCCACGCAAAATATGGTCGATAATTTATTTAGCACGCTCGCACATAAGCATCATGGTCCAGCGGTCAAGGCGCAAAATTGGCAATCATAGGTGTCCGGGTTCGAATCCCGGTCAGATACAAAGATACATTTATTTTGTTTTTTTTTTGTATTTATTGAAGTTATTATTATTTTTTGAAGAAAATTGTACTTTTGGCCAAAAACTCCGAGTGAAGCTCGCTCACCCGGTACTGGGTAATTAAGTTAGGCCCTCTTATGTAGTATCTTGTGTTAGTAAGCGTAACTAGTATTGGAATTACTATTACTTACGTAGAAACCTAAACCTACTTAGTCTACTCTATTACAAGGCTTTCAATAAAAGCTTGTTGCTTAGCAACATTTTACTTTATTTTGAAAATTGACTTAATAAAACAAGAACACATAAATGAGTAGTTTTATAATAGTGCATTATTTTTGCACGCTATATCAAGGCCGCAAATGCGAATGCCCTGGGTTCGAGTCCCAGGGCGGATCATGTCAATTTTATTTTTTCTGTAAAGAAATTTTCAGTAACAATCTTGTGCTATTGTGTCGTTGTCTATAAAGAAATAATCAGTAATAGTCTGAATAAATCCGTCAAAAAATCTGAAGAGATAAACAGTCTTGAGTTGGGGAGCTGGCGATGTTTCACCGCCGTGTCTTGGAGAACACGTAAAGCCGTTGGTACTGCACTGCTCCCATCGATCGTGTGGAATTCTCGTCCCACTGAAGTATAAGAATAACAGAAGTAGAGAATATCTGAATGAGATTATATTGTAAACTTTATTTATTACAATTATATGTGGAAAATGTTCGTCAATTCATATATTTGTGTAACCAAATTTTGTTGCTTTATTGACAGCATAATTTGAAGCTAACGCTAAATGCTACATTTCAATACAAGAAATCTAGTTCTCAAGCATAGAATTTAGAATTCAAATTCTGTTATGCAAAATATTTGATATTTGTACATATATCTATCTACCTTCGTAATCTATAATAAAATAACACCTGCATCGCATTGTCTGAACATAATATTAAAATAATATTATGTTGCCTTCTTAGTTAATAGTTTATTATTAATCTTATTAGTAGTAACTAGTAAGTCTATTTTTAACCCCCGACGCAAAAAGAGGAGTGTTATAAGTTTGACGTCGATGTCTGTCTATCTGTCTGGGTGTGTCTGTGTATAATATGTTTGTGGCATCGTAGCTCTCAAACGAATGGACCGATTTCGATGCGGTTTTATTCATTTGAAAGCCAGTTTCCTTGCGGTGTTTCTAAGCTATGTTTGGTTAATATCATTCCAGCAGTGTAAGAGTATCAGCTCTTTTCCAAAATGACGTAAGGCATTTTGGCGTATGATTACTCGATTAAGTGTTTCATGCGTGCTACGTAATCGTTAAATGACAATTAATTTGCGTAGGGGTTTTTTTTAATTTTTAATTTATAATATAATATGAATTCATATTTCCCACTGTATTCAGAAAAGTAACGTAATTGAAACAAAAAATCAAACCTTTCCTCTTTATAATATTAGTATAGATGTATTCGTATATTGTATACTTTATATGAAGTTTGAAGTTAGGCAAATTGAATGATTTATCCAGTATAAAATTTTTACACTATATAAATTTTAATTCGGTTTTGTTAACAGATTCCTCCAGGAAAATTGGAAAATCTGACCTTAAAGCTGTCTGTTCTGGACACGGGCAGGGTTGGTAAAAACAAGCAACTCATTGGACATATTATTCTACCGCTAAGTGAATTGGAAGGCATCGCACCCGATGAAGAACCGCAGCTTTACAAACTGGATATTGAAAAAGTAAGTTTTATTTAGATTTTTTTGCCTTTTATCTAACTCGGAAATATATTTACATAAGCCCACTGTCCTAAACTTCCACAATTACTATAGTTAGTTATATGAGATTCATCGGATAGAATCAGTAAATCCACTAAATCCCGGTGATACCCTCAATATTTTAATGAGGCGCTATGGGATCGCGTTTGCTTACGACCATGATATTTTAAACTATCTTTTCTGCGGCTTAAATTCCTGTTTAATTTTCACATCCATTTAATTTTGGCTAAATATGAGACCAGACTAAGAAGATTAAAACGTATTTTTGGATATCCAATTGTATCTATCTACTCTCTAGATATATGATAAAAATATAACTGATCGCTGTCTGTACATGGCAGATATTTTAAAAAACTATTATTAGGGGTCTTTATTAACGCAATAGAACCTTAAACAATGAATTTTAGAATTTTTGTCTGTTTGTCTGTGCGTTTGTGCGCCCTAATCTCAGAAATGGCTTAACCGATTTGAGTGTGTGTTTTCGCTAATTTATGTGGTAAACTTCATTCAACATGTAGTATTTGTTTCATTTCAATCGGTTCATAAATAAAAAAAAATATAAATTTTAATAATAATCTAAAAATAAAATATTAAAATGATATTTTTTTTATACTTGTTATTTTAAATATGTAGCTACTAGTTTTAAATATGTTTATAACATGTTAAAACCTAAGTATAGTTTAGGATTTTAGTTATATGAGAAATTTTATTATAAAACTTGACCTAATACTCAATAGATATTCCATAGAACATATCTTCCAAAAATAATTATTTATTCCGCACAATATTTAATCATTCTCTTGCTTCCTGTTTAACTTTGAAATAAATAAATAATAAATATGTTGGGACATTAATACACAGCACCATCTAGTTCCATTGTAAGCTACGAGGCTTGTTTTATGGATACCAAATAGTTAATACACTACATATATATAAATATATACGAGTATATTATTATAAATACAAACACCCACAACTGAAGTACAAACATTCGTGCTCATCACACAAGTGAATGACCCCAGCGGGACTCGAACTCGCGACCGCTGGCAAAGAAAGTAGGGTCACTACAAACTGATCCAAACGTATCGTCATTAATAGTGCATGTCACTAAAACTGCTATAGTCGTTATAAGTATTTAATTGAACATTGGCCTCATATTGAGTTACATGTAATTATACTTGTTGATACATACAAAGATTTATTGGATCAAAAATCATTCGATGTGTGAAATAATATTTAACTTCAGTCGGGTTTTCGTATTACGATAACTGACTTTAGTAAAGTTCTCTAGGGACGGCGGAAATGTAAACACAATGTTTACGGAAATCCGTTCCAGACTTATATTTGAATGCCGCCCGCTTATTTATCGCTGAACAGCTTTTCTAATAAAATGAGTTAATGCTATCTACTATTAACTACTGTTCTTTATTTGAAAATATTTACATTTGTTACGTAAAAACTCATAATACGCATTATTCTGCACTGTTTATGACCCACTACGGGTTTGATTCCTGTACGGTACAATTGTGTTGACTTCACAGCATATGTTGTTTTCCAGGACTGATAAAATCTTAAGATACTTTGGGGTAAGGGTATTTTCGTCTTAGGTTATATATATATATATATATATATATATATATATATATATATATATATATAACATATATTAATTTGTAATTTATTTTAACCAACTGAAAACCGAAACCTAATTAAAATATTTTTTTAAATCTCCTAGGAAGTTCAGGATCCCATATCAGATTTGGGCGAAGTTCAAGTGTCGCTGCTGTACAATGAAAATTTGCATCGACTCACTGTCACGGTTATTGAAGCTAGAGGATTAAAGGTACTTGCTTAATTATTCATTACTTTACACTTACGTTACTTTAGTACATTATCACTTAAAATTTTATATAAGTTCATATGAATATACTATGGATATAAATATATGTATTCATGTCCTTTAAGTCCAAATTATATAACTTATAAAAATATCACTCTAAATTAACTACATTTTATAAACTTATATAGCTATGGAACTGCCTCGGTGGTGTAGTGGCTAGCATGTACGGCTGCACACCCGAGGTCCTGGGTTCGAGACCCGGGTCGGGCCAAGTTTAGTTATTGAGTCTTTCTGTATAGTAAGCCTCAGTAATAGCCCGGAGTTGGGAAGTTGGCGGTATTTCACCCCCGTGCCTCGGAGAGCACGTAAAACCGTCGGTCCTGCGCCTTAACTCTCACCGGTCGTGTCGAGCAGTCGTCCCACCGGAGTATGAGAGTGACAGGAATAGAGAGTGCACGTTGTGTCTGCGCTCTCGCTCACACGCGCTGCACTATAATATCTCCTGCGCAGTTGGCTAGTCTCAATGAGATTAGCCGCCGTAGCCGGAATCGGTCAGAAGAACATCATCATCATCATAGCTATATTTTCTCTATTTTAGGAGGATATTTCTTTCTTAAATAGAAATTCGAAACGAATATTGTTTAAAGTAATAGAGTAATTTTAGTGAAAACGCGATTCCTATATTAGATTTTCTCTATTATAATTAATCATTTAGAAAATTTCATCTATTAACAGTACTAAATCAATATCATATTCGTGCAACTCTAACCCATCATCAACCAAATATAGTTATATGTAGTTTTAGATACAATAATTTACGTGACCACAAAATTTAATATAACCACATAGTATAGTGATATCATATACATAACATACTAAAAGTTTCTGATTAGAACCATTTACATATCGCTTTTGTAATCAGCATTAATTGATTAAAAAATATACCCTGACTTCATAACAACGTCTTAGATTAATAATAATAAATATAAGTTGGACAATAAACGCCGAAAGCTTTTCTATTTTGGGAGGATAATTTACTAGATTGAAACCGAGTACTTCTAAAAATAGCAAAATATTTTTAGTAAACTATGACTCACGATTAAATTATCTATTTATGCATATTCGCAATTCATAGTCATCCATTATAACAATATATAGGAAAAGCTATGAGAGCTTATCTAATCAAAATTCTGTAAACTTCTTTCTGTATAATATAATCTAAATAGCCAATTTTATAAACGATATTATAACGTAACTTTAAAACAAAAAACTTATCTCCAATTAAAACAAAAGCTATGAGCTTTAAAAGGCACTGAACAAAGTCTGTAGTATTCGTAGACCCACTAAATAAAAGAAATATTGTATATCTTCTTATATATAAAAATCAATGGTTGCGTTGTCTCACTAAAACTCAAAAACGGTTGAACCGATTTTTATAATTCTATTTTTGTTTTGTTGAAAGTATATCAGGGATGGTTTAAATATATTTTTTTATGAAAAACCCATAAGAACAGCTGGAAAATCGAAAAGTTCAGAACTGGTTATTTTGTATGGGTATCACTACTTCGGATTACTTTCAATAATGGTGGACCTACCATCTACAACAATACGTCAAGTTTAAGTTAGAAAAAAAGTAATATAATTATATAACAATATATTCTATACTAATCGTTAAAACGTACCTAGGGACGAACCCGAGCGAAGCGAGCGTGAGTCGCTAGTATATTATAAATAAACATGTATTTCGAGCTATCAGCCTTTATAACAATGCTAAAATCATTAATCTCGCTCATGTAGCTCGACCCATCATCCGCCAGACGTGAGGTGATAGCACGTGTGACACAAGAGCGCGCGTGCCGCGGCGTGCGCGCGCGCCGCACGGCCGCCGTCGACGTCACCGACGAGGGCACTGCTCTCATCTCCGAATGCTTCCATTTCCGACTGAGGGCTGATGAGTTACATACTACCAGCGTGACTGTGCAGGTCCTCCAACCACACTCCGTGTATGCCAAAGGTATTTCTATACATATAATAAAATTCTAACTAAGCTGAATCTGTACGTTAGATATTTTTTGGAAAACCTTATTGAAATAAATATTATTATCGATACAGAGGCCGAATCTATAGATTTTAGAATTTGTGTCTGTCTATCTGTCTCTTACCGCATCACAGAAAAACCACTGGAGGGATTTTTATGAAATTTGGTATGGTGATAGCTGGTTATCCGGGTCAACATATAGGATACTTTTTAGCGCGGGAAAACATCTCATTTTTGAGAAAAAATACAAAAACTACAATGTAACAGTATTCTAATATGTAAAATCTAAGAATTTGGTTTTTGTTCATCTGGACGCGAGCGGAGCCGCGGGCAATGCTAGTAATATATAATTATATAATATATGAAAATATGGTGTCTAAAAATGGTCAAATGCGAGTCAAAGAGCAACTTGCGTGGATGGAATGAATGGGACATTATTCGATTGAATGAATGTATTGACGTGTAAATTATAAGTGAATTTTCTATTTTACTTTAGTTTAGAATTTTAGAATGATTAATTTCAGAGATAAAGTAGAGCGTTGGTTACATCCCATTCATTTTTAAACTGCTTCTTTATGTGATATAAAAATAAAATATCATAAAAGCAAGAAGCAATGTCTTATAACACGAGTAAAGTGGAAAATCCGAAACCAGTATTTGTAGTTAGTTACGTAAATCACAAATGTGCGAATCAGATTCGAACTTGTCCGATTTTTTATTCAATGTTGTAGTACTTACCTAACTCTGTACCAAATACATACATACATATACACAACAATATATACATATATTATATATATATATATATATATATATATATATATATATATATATATATATATAATACACATTAATACATACACAAACACAAATTTCACAATTGATTGATTTAGTGATCAAATTTGACAACACTTTATTTGGCACCACAGCGAGTGAAATAAATCAATCACATCATCGACATATTTCACCCATCGTTTCAGCTTTATCGATACTTAACTCAAATTTATTGGTAACTGAGATTACATTTTTAATAAAATAAATGTATCGATAATTTCAATTTATTTGTAACATATATAAAATAAACTTTATGTATGTACATACATATATAGCGAATACGAGGTAAATTATATAAACAAAAATAGTTACGTACGCTATTACGAAGTTTTATTAAGCCGCTCTTGAGGTCAAATATAAATAAAACGGTGCGCAAATATAAAAGCTGCAACAAAATATCGTGCTGTGGTATTTTAAAGTTAGCCACAACTACTCTAAGTAAGATACACCGCAATAAGTTCTGCGTATTTTCCACTTAACAAGAAACACTAAACAAATTAAACGTATGATTGAAAAAATTATTAATAATAATATTTAAATGGAAAGGTACGAGTATGTACATACATATATCTAGAACAGTCATTCTACTATTTGATTTGCTATGATATGACGATCCCTATATAAAGTTCTACTAAATTCAACGTAGTTTACCAATGGAACTAAGGTAAAGACCCAAAATTTGAATACTATTATTAGATTGTTACACAACACTGACACGTTCATATCGCCATATTGAATCGAAACATAGTCGAAACTTTATTGTTAGTGATACAATGAGAAAGTTAGACATGTGAAGACATGATAGCGATATTGAATAGCTATATTGAAGTGATCATACCTAATATTAATATAGAAATAATTACTGTTCAACGAATATTTCGCGAACTTCAAAGTTATTTAGGAATGTTTTGTAGTTTATTTTATATAAACTACTTAACCTTTATCTATATGGTTTAATGAGACAGGCTAAGAATTTTAAAAACTATAACTTGTCTAAGTTTAAAACTGGTTTTATATGAAATATAAAATAATATTGATTATATTATAATAATTTCATATAAAACATTAGTCTCGAGCAGGAATCAAGTAGACGACCACAGAATAAAGAACTGATAGCTGTTAAGCACTAATTTTATTATTATCTAGATACAACACAGAAAACAGGAAAATAGCTCTTGTACTTAAAAAACATATTATTTAAATTAAAAACAAATAATATTTACGTAAGTAATAGCACTAATTAACCTTAATTATAATAATTACTTAAGTAAATTAATTTTCTATAAAAGTATTTAGAAAGCTTCACTAACGCTAGTTTTTGCAAATTTTTTACTCTATATTTCCAAAGTTAGGAAGACAGTATAAAGATAATATTCGCATATAAAGATATATTCATGATTTTAGAATCATGTCACCGGCTAATATGGGGTTTATATAAGCCCCCCTTTTACCTCTTCAAGGGATGAATTTCAATAAATCTATCATACATTTTTTCCCATGTAAAGCTTACAACCTCCTTTTACCCTTTCCAAAAATTAAAAATGTCATAAACGTATTGTTTTATTTTTTTATTTTAAAGTAAATACCACTTTTCGTGCACTTAACATGAAAAAATTACTGAGTTTCATACAAACTTTCATCCCCTATTTTACCCTCTTATTGGAAGAATTTCGAAAAAATTTATTTAACTGTATTGAAGAGCGATAATGCCAAGTATCAAGTAATTCTGATCATAAACAATTTTTTCCCTTATAAACTTCATCACTCCCTTTTACCCCTTTAAGGGAAGAATTTAAAAACAAACTTAATATACGTATCTTCTTATTTTTTAGTGGTGGTTATTGGATGTTTACATTATAAAATGCATCAACTGCTGAAATTTCAAGGTTTGAACCCCTGTGGTTTAGGCTCTGCGTTGATGAATTCGTCAGGACAAGTAATTTTACATACGTACATTGTACATATGTAATATGTGGCTTGTATTGAAATATACCGCTGTAAAATATAACAAAACCTCGACTACTATCCGTGACTGTGGTATCCAACCACGTCCTGCCATGCATGTCACGTACGAGTAACACGCAAATAACTCACCCACTTTGCCGATATTAAGTAGGACCCATGTGGGAGGGAGGCTTGTTATGGTCTCTAACCTTCTCGTTCCGCAACACTATAAATCCTTCTATAAATAAATAAAATGGTTCAAGCCAATTGCATCAACGCTATACAATAGACAAAATAACTTATAAGCTAAAAAGGAAGTTCAAATATCATAAAATTGCTCGTTTTACTACATAATAATTTTATTATAATAAACAAACGAACGAGAATCGAATGAAAATACCTTAAATATTAAAGATATGAAATTTTAATTAAAAGTTTTTTTTTAATTAAATAATAACAACTGCATTTTTAAAATACTTACCTGAGCCGTTAATCGCTAATCGAACCAAATAAAAGTCCAAAAAAATATACATACATCGTGCCAGTTTTGTAATCGATAGGGTTTAATGTTACCCTTACATGGAAATCTCTAGAACAAAAATTGTATCGTAAAATTCCATAAAATCTTCTCTCTCGATTTGTTTAATAAAATAGGTAAAATTTATTGTGTTGCGTATTTGGTTGGTTCGATTACCGGTTCAGGTAAACTTTAAAAAATATAAACGCACATTTTCTTTGAGTGAAACTTGATATCTTCAATAATTCAGGTACTTATATGTCATTTTCCGTTCGTTTGTCCCATGCCATAAAAACTTCAAGATACGACCAATGAAATAAATTACGCTGTAATTACATTAATAAACTGCTTTTGGTTTTTCAACTTTTATATTAATTGGTCTCTATGCGCGTTAACTTTATAAAGACTGACAATAACAGTTTACGAGTAATTTAAACTGATAAACTATTTAATGTGAAAAGTTAGCCTATTTATATCTCTCTATGAAACGTTTTTCTTAAAGAACGTTCTCAAAGAGGCTTGTTTTTTATAATCAGATTCTTCTCGCATCCAATATTTTCTAATTCAAAATTCTTTGCCTTCTTCTGATGCCTTGACAAAAGATTTTGTTTATATTATCATAAAATATGTACTTTCTAAAAACGTGCTCAGAATATTTTAGAACAGATCCCATATTTTATTAAATACAAATTGTTTGGAGTAGATAGTTGGTAAGAAGGAATTTTCCTAGAATCGTTGGTAAATTCTTTTATATAATATAGTAGCATCAATGTACGATAGGTAGTGCGCAAATCGTGCGAGATCATTTATAATTTATTTGTCTGAATGCAACAAGTATAACCAACAAGTATTTTTATGTACAACAAGTATTTTTATGTACAACAAGTATTTTTATGTTTTTATGTACGCTTGTATGTCCCATTATACATGGGTGCATTTAGAGCGGGTCACTAATCTAAATCGGACTACTATTATAATTGAGAATGTTTGTGTGTGTGTATGTGTAATATGCTTGTAACTTCTGTACGCTGAAACTACGAGACGAATTTAAATGAAAATTAGTACACAGATAAACTATGATCTATAGTAACACATATGTAGGTTACTATTAGGGCAACTAGGGCACCCGCACACAGGACGTACATCGCTAGCATATAATAATACTGGCAGCTTCGCCTGCGTTCAAACTTCCGATTTAAACAGCAGTTTTACAATAATGTATAGAAGTCTGCCCGATTTGTTGACATTTATGATTACTACTCAGCTCCCTTGGGTAGTTGCATGATGATATATAGCCTATAGCCTTTCTCAATAAACGGGCTATCTAATGCAAGAAGAATTTTTAAAATCGGATTTGTAGTTCCTGAAATTAGCGCGTTCAAACTAAACAAACTCTGTATTTTTATAATATTAGTAAGTATAGATTATGTTTATTATAATTTTTAAATATATTTTATTAATAAATATTTTTTTTCCAGATCGTCTGCTAGGTAAGTTCGTGTTAGGTTCATACATGTTCACACGAGGGCGAGCGTTGCAGCATTGGAATTCTGCCATATCGAGCCCCATGGAACAAGTACAACAATGGCATCCGCTCACAAACTGACTTCGCAAAATGAATATCGATATATAACGCACATAAAAATTATCGTGTGTACATGTACATGTCTTATTACTCCAGAGATAAATCTTATCAAATTATATTAGTATATATATACTAAAGTTAGTATATATAAATTTTGCCCTTTGTTGAAACGAATATATGAATTCAAAAACCGGTATACATATGTAATTTAACAAGAAACACAACATTTTTTCATTTTAAGTAAAAGACAAAATATGTTTTATATAATATTATAATTTTTTTTAATTCATAAATAATTTATACTTGCAATTAAATATTAATCCTACATAACTACAAGATATCTACGAGAATTTCAAGCCCACGCTACGAAACGGTCTACGAAACTACAAAGCGGAAAAGCCACTACGTAGCCAAAGACATCTTCATCAATAAACATTGCTTGTTTGCGTTTGATTAAATTGTCGATGCAAGTTATTGAACTTGATAGTCAAAGGTACAAGGAATAAAAAGTACTAACAAGAATAATGTGTAAAGTTTAGTAATGGCAATATCGACGTCATAAGTTTTAAAAGAAATAACAATGAGGCTAATATCTATAATTTTATTTAAAATTCTAATTCAATTTAAAAGTAACTTTTTATCGTATTGTAGATACCATCCACTTTTCCCGCGTGTATATTTCTATTAAATCTACAACAAATACATCTAAAATTGGCTAGAGTATCGTTTGCCCAGTTTCCAGCCTTTTCGTAATATGTGTAAGGATTTATCATCAAGTTAGAATTTAACTGAGAACAAAAACTGCAACTACTTTACGATATTCCACATTTAAATCTATCGAACCGTTGTCGCTGTCCACGACTAAGTATATAAACAAAGAAATATAATAGGTTTCACGGTTATAATATCCTAATAATTATCCAAGGCATCAATCTTAGTTTCAGCCTTTAAAAACCTGGTCACAACTTTATAGGATGCTAATTAATTTACTATAAAAGGAAATGGGATACATCGAGTATTCTTGGCATTTAAAGATAAAATAGATTGTAAGATGAAATCTATGTGCTTGGTCATAATATGTCATGTTATGGATTATTTTAAATACAGATAATTTATTAAAATTATATATTATATAAAAATTGTAGCGTCTTTTTGTATGATTTTCTTATACTCTTAAGATATGTACATGTACTCACCTCTCTGACATGATTTGTATTTTATGGACACAATATAATATTTTATGCATAGTCTACAAATATACCATAACATTTAAAATTTCAACATTCTTAATAATAATACTATAGAATTAGACAGTATGACTTTATCGATTGTATTTAAAATCTATGATATTTATTAAAAAATCCAAATTCCAGTATTTTTGTATGTGTCATGCGTAAAACCTTTTATAGTTAGTAAGTTAATATATTGTACATTCTTTTTATCAATATTAAAAAATAATATTTACATATTCTTCTAAAAAGGCTGGATTTCTTAATTTATAATAATTGAAGAAAATTCTCTTGATTATTCGATTATTATTTTTTAATATTAACTTTCTTACGTTGTCAAATATTGAGACGTAATTAAACTAGATAAATTGTGATAAAACACCAATTTCAAAAAACCTATTAAATATTCATTGTCATTTAATATTTATAAAATATAACGTATGTGTAATGAATAATATAATAATGTATAACAAATATTATATGATGTATGTACCTAGTATTCTTTCGATATTGTGCAAACGAAAAAATAAACGGTGTAACGCCAAATTGGCGATAATATTATTGTTTTACTAACTCCAATGACTCTTCTCCAATCCACTTTATTCCTTGAAGTACAATAAATGTACAATAAGCGGCCGAAAGACCAAAAAAGGAAGGCAACCATCCCAAAAATTGAACCAGCTACCTCGCTAACCTTATAAAGGTATTCCACTTATATTATGAATACCAAAGTTTGTGTATGTGTTTAAAAGTTTGTGTATGAATACCAAAGTTTGTGTATTGCTTTTTCATGCTATAACGGCATTTGAAATTCCGAATGGGGACAGCTTATATATTTACTTTCTCGGTAATCTTAGCGGGTTACAAAGATAAACAGTTTAAGCACAAAGTTATTAGTAAGCAAGGTCCCCGGGGGAGAAGCCAAAAAAAAAAAAAAAAAAAAAAAGTAAGCAAGGTCAACATATAACTAATGTGATAATTTATAAAATAAACAATGCATATAGATATAAGAACATATATATACAGTACATTAAAAAATAGAAAAAAATAATACTAGATAATAAAATTTATCATGGTGATGACATTCATATGAAACATAATAATATATTCTGCACTAGCAGCCCACCCTCGCTTCGCTCGGGTTTGTCTCTAGAAAAACCAAAGCAAATCTATCCCACGAGAACCGTACCTTTTTCCGGGATAAAAAGTAACCTATGTATTATTCTGATGTATGAGCAATATTCAGTAGTTTTTGCGTGAAAGATTAACAAACATACATCCATACGTCTACATACATACATTCTTACAAACTTATAATATTAGTAGGATTAACACATAGGCTACTTTTTATGAATATACCACGTGAGTGGAGCCGCGGGTGAAAACTAGTATATAAATACAGTGAATATTGATTTGTTTTGATCTGACGTAGCACTTAAAACCAGTCAGTCATTACAGAAAAGTGACAGACCCGAAAATAGGTCAATCAATTAACAACAACTGGCACTGCGATGTTTTAACAACCAAATAAAGCAATCGTAGCTGTGTTTCCGATAGAAAACAAACTTCATTTGTTATGCTCATTCCCAAAACAGTCACGTTTCTGTATTTCACGTTATTTTGTATAGTTAGAATATATGGTTTAAAAAAAACACACGTTGTTACAGAGACACACTGTTTCGGTATGATAGGCCCTTGACTCTTAATAAAATTTAGCACTGCAAAGCTCAATAGTTCACAAACGGATAACTTAATCCAAAGATTGTTTCCACAAACTCGCAAAATTTATGAAAGACTTATCCAACGATACCCATCACCATGAGGTCGACGAATAAACAAACACCACTATCCTAAGAAGTATTCGGGGAAACATTGATACTATGAAACCTTCTGGAATATTTAAAAAAACTTTCAAAATTATCATAAAAATTTGAAAACGCAAAAAATTTTTTATAATATCAATTAATATTTATTTGGGTTACGAAGCATGTATAGCATCAAAAAACTTACCTTTTTATTACTTCCAAGATCCTGACACCTCTCTCCTTAAAGCCGATCTTAATCAACCAAGTTCTGCACACCATGGTCGTTGACAAATCCAATTACTTATATCCTAAATAAACTGACTAAGCAAGTAATCGCCTGTATTACATATCTATTGTTTTATTGGACTTTAATACTCGGTCCGCCACGAGAGGTTAAACTATGCCTACCCATTTCCTTCATTCCATATTCTATAGAACTTTAACTTAATCCTATTAAATTTGAATCCCCATAAGACTGCAGATGGCTGATGACAAAGTTTACTATCACATTCATATACTAACGATACACTCTTACTTTGCTCCAATTAAAAAATATATAAATTTTTTTATCGGAATGGATCTTCTTAATGAAAGCGTCTACTCTTCAATGAAAGTATCATTAAAATTGGTATGACACCAAATATGGAACTTATTTAAAAAAATCTTATTTGGCTATTATTATAAACATCGATTAAAAAAGTACATGATACACAATCCCATGCATAAGTTCTCTTATAATAATTAAAAATTTATAGAAACCCAATACGCAAATTAATTGTCATTTAGATACTGGCACGCGTGAAGCACTTAATCGAGTAATCATACGCCAAAATGCCTTACATCATTTTGGAAAGATAATTAAGGAGCTGATACTCTTACACTGCTGGACCGATATTAACCAAACATAGCTAAGAACCACCGCAAGGAAACTGACTTTCAAATGAAAAGCACCGCATCGAAATCGGTCCAGCCGTTTGACAGCTACGATTCTACAGACAGACACACACACAGACAGACAGACATCGACGTCAAACTTATAACACCCCTTTTTTGCGTCAGGGGTTAAAAACTGTCACCAATTGTGTTTAGGTAATTATTCTAGTTGAAATAAATATACAACAATGTAAATTGAATCTTAAATGCAATGCTTAAAATTATTTTTACACAAAATAATTAAAAGTGGGTTCAAATGTCCAAATGAGCGCTCATTCTGTGAGGACATTTTTTGTAGCTGACTGTGTATCTAGTACTTTTTTGATAAATTATTAATTATAAATAAAAAAAATTGTGACGTTTGTTTTTTCCTTCATGCTGAAACGGCTGGAGGGATTTTGATGAAATTTAATACACAGATTAATTGATGATTGATTGATTTTGAGCAACAGATAGTTGGTACATAACTATTAAACACACAGACACACGAGCGAATCGAAGATAAGTATCTAATTATTATTATATTATAAGTATTCTAATTTGGCTATATAATATTGTACAGACATAGACATTATAACTGTATTTATTTATTATAATAATTGTTCAAATATTGACACTTTTAATATCCACTTTAACTACACATACATAAGTAAAAATATTAACAAACAAAAATGTTAAGATAACAAATTATTTAGTATAAAGTTTAAATATTTCAGAATTTTCGACCGAATCTTGGATAGTCTGAAGGTCTAAAAAATGAATGCATATTTTTTACTTTTAGTACAACAAATAAGATATGATATTAACATTGCTTCTTACAAATTTTATAATTTAAACTTAAAGGTTAAATTATAATAACATCGAAGTATCAAATCATCCATACCCACAAATAGTGTCGTCCAATTAATATCCTACCATATAAGGCGTTATGATTTTGTATAAAATACATAAACCATGACTAAAACGTAAAAGTATAATGAACATGTGAAAATTAAATTTTAAAATGAGTTTGAATTCAGTTGATTCTGAGTGAAAATTCAAGTTCTAATTC